AGGCACCTCCGTCTGTGGGCCCTTTAATGCTCCTGTGCATAACAGCCCCCCATTTCTGATTGCAAGATCAAATTTATTTATCTACTTATTAGATACCTGGCACAATTCCAAGGAGGATTACACTAAGGAAACATAAAGAATTAAACATGCGCGGCAATAATAATAGTAATAATAATAATACAAAAATACTGTAATAATACTGTAATGATGATGATGATGATGATGTCATGCCTTCGAGTGTACTTCTACCCAGGTCTACTCAGAGTTACCTGCAATGAGCCCGGGGCTTTTGCCACGTGGCCCGGCCCGCCCTCCCGTTTGGCAGAGAACTATGGTCCCCAAAGATCAGTAAATCATAACTGACTTGTGTCATTACTGGATTAATGTCGACAGCGGGCGGAGTTCTCTGCCTCCGCTGCCCAGCTAAAACGACCAGCCTTGCCCGGGAAACGAAGTATCTCGAGCCATTTGTGCAAAATTCACACGTTAGAAAATAGAAACATCATTAACCCATCGCGGGGGTTGTAAAATCCAACCCCCTCGTTCCCTTCGTTACAGCTGCTCATGATCATTTCACATCGAACGCCACGGAGGGAACCCGAGTTCCTGACGTCACGTAACCTCCAGCTTCCGCCGCACCTTAGTTTGGTCTCACGTAGCCCCCGTAGCCTGGTAACCAGGCGGAAGTGGCGTCACACGCAGCCGCGGCATTCAAATTCTCGGAAGCCGCGTTCGAGCGGGGCTAGGTTCGAAGAGGAGCGGTACTGCCGTTGTTTCCTGCTCGCCGCTCCGGGCCGTCCCGTCCCGTCCCGTCCCGTCCCCTTCCTTCCGTGCGCGGTGGGAGGGAGGGTGCGGTGTTGTCAGTGCCGCCACCGCCTTGCCATCTTAAAGCGCTCCTCTCCGCCCGGCAGTGTCCACCTAGCGCTCCAGAGGCTTTGCTGAGGTATGTATGGGGAAGGCGGGGGTCGGGGGAGCTGTGCTTTTCCGCCTCAGCAAGCCGGTGCTGGAGCAGGCTTCTTGAGCCATTGTGGAGAGAAAGAAGAGAAGGAAACAGGCCTCAACAGGTGGCGGCACCTGGCCGATCTTGAAAGCTACACAGACTCGGCCCTCTTAGGGCTTGGAAGGGAGACCACTAGGAAATCCCTAGGCTGTGCCTCCACTGGGACGTCATGGAATCAGGCAAGGGCAAAACCATTTTGGTGACCCCCCCCCCGCCAAAACAAACAAACAGCTTGGATGTGTTCAACAGTTGTTGGGTGTGACTTGAGGGCCTCTTTATCTCATGGCAGCAGTCACACCTTCTCTATAGTTGCTTAGTTACTCAGGTCAATACACCAGACACTGTAAATCAGAGTTTTATTCAGCATACAAGGCAAAAGCATTGAATGTGGTGGACCCCTTGCAAGGGGTGCAAAGCCATTTTATAGTCAGGTGTAAACAGCTAGTCTGTGCATCTCTAGTTCTAGAATGTTCAAGTTTTATTTTCCTAATAAGGAATAGCCTAATTTTTCAGGTTCTAATTGGCATACCTTTTCTCTGTTGCTATAAGCGTAACATTTGTCCTTACATTCCTGTCTAATCTATTTATGTGACTCCCTTGTTTCTAAGCGTCGTCCAAGGCTTTTTGGAATGGCACCCAGTGTGCCAATAGCCACTGGGAACACCACTGCTGGTTTATGCCATAATCGTTCAACTTCAGTTTTCAGATCTGGATACTTTGTGATCTCCTCCAATTCTTTGTCTTCTGTTCTACTATCCCCTGGTATTGCCACATCAATTATCCCCACTTTCTTCTTTTCAACCACAGTTAAATCTGGTGTGTTATGTACCAAGACTTTATCAGTTTGTATTCGGAAATCTCACAATATTTTAACCTGCTCATTTTTTACTACTTGTTCAACTATATGTTCCCACCAATTTTTCATTACTGGCAATGATAATTTTTACAAATGTTCCAGTGAATCATTTTGGTGACTGTTATGTTGTTGTTTATAGTCAGTTTGTGTGATCTTCTTGCATGAGCTGAGTATATGATCTACTGTTTCTTCTGCTTCTTTGCACAATCTGCA